CGAGTCTGGTCACAGTCTGGGGGAAGGTGCATGTGTTACTCGCTCAGAAGTAACAAGGAGCCCGAGTCTGGTCACAGTCTGGGGGAAGGTGCATGCGTTACTCTCATATTGCTCCCTGGCGCGGTATTTGCATAATACCGAGTAATGATTTCTGCTTTTCGATTACGTAAGTCCTGGCGAGTGACGCAGCGCGGTCGAGGCTCACAGCGCTGCAAAAATGCACGGCGCTTGCATTTTTTTGCTGCATGCAAGGATGACATTGTCTGCATTTTGAACGTCGTCTTTGTGCACCTCATATCGTTTCAGAAAAATTTAAAATTCTTCTCTTCGGAGACTTTTCAAGGTATTTATTGGAGAGGATTTCAATTTAAACATTCTTTGGTTGAATATTTTACGAGGGTTTTTTTTTGTGTCTTGCGCGAGAGAAAGAAAATCACTATGTAAAACATGACGTGAAATTATATATACGTGAAATAATAAAAGTTCTATAGGATTTCGAATTCTGACGCTTCTATAGTGAGTTTTCCATATCAGACATTATCAACGTAGGATGCCTTTGGCGACTTGATACAATGCAAAAATGAAGTCTATTTTTAAAGCCCACTATTTCATTAATATTTCAACAGATTCAAAACCCGAAAATTGACATTTAATAAAAATGAGATCAGTACTCACTGCAGTGAGTAACAGAGAGCGCATTTTCTCGTGCATAAATCAGTTGAAGTTCTTCTTTCTATGGCGCAAGGAAGACAAAGTCCTGTATTAAGGACCTGAGACCAAGACCTGGGTCATGTTACATATTTTTGTAAAGGCCAATCTTCAACCAACCTAAAACTATAATCTAAATCACGACACGTTTTAAAGTATTCTTAAAATCGCCGAAAACGTGAAGTCACGGACGGACGGACATGACGAGCACAATAGCGCCATTTTTCCATTAATGAGAAAATACGCTAAAAATTGAACATAACAAATAAAAATCAATCAATTCATATAAATTCATTGAAATTATCATATCATATCAATTCATTGAAATTGTTCCATCACAAGCGTTTATCAGAAATTGGGGGCAAACATTTTATTTTCGATTCAAGTTTCACTTGTCAGAATGCCGAATTTTCACGAATTTTTCCTCAGAATTCTGGAATCTCTTTCAAATGCTGATGAAAACTTTTTCTTACATGTTATTGCACGAGTCAAAATTTCGCATTCATTCCCTATGATCGAACACTTACACTTTACACAAGGGAATTTCGATGTATTTCCATGTGACCGACCGTATCCACACCGATTCACGACCTGCATTAAATAATTTGGTCAAAGGCCGTCAAAATACTTGCAATTTACCCAACTTACAGCGTTCACCTCTTTTTTCAATACCTGCGACATTTATTAAATATTCAAGTGGTAAATAAATACATGTGCGTGACACGCAACCATTCCTATGCTTGCGTTGACCACAAATTTAGGTCGAAAAGATACGGCTGATCTTGACGGATGGTGGACAGATGCGATAAGTTACGTCTGATGTTGACGGATGGTGGACAGATGCGATAAGTTACGTCAGATGTTGACAGATGATGGACAGATGGCTGCTGCCAACCGTCGCACTTGGTAATGAAGGGTTCAATATAATCACCAATCTGGTGAGTCATAAAATCGTGATACACTGCCTCGGAACTGAACGCGCTCGCCAATACCGACAAATGCTTCGTTTTGAACCGGCGGAGTAAACAATAGGAAGGAATTATGGAGTCAAAAGTTGCCTGATAAATGTACGCCTTAATCCAAATGTAATCTTTGATTTATAGGGCAGCCTAAAATTTGCACCCTTCGTCCATTACAGTTTTATCGAAATGTCCGATGTGACCTTGTAGGTCATGTTTTCAATTTCTATGTGTAATTTTCCTAGCTCTCGATCATTTGTAATTATCCGGCATCTTCGCTAAATTTCTCTGTCGATTATTTCAAGCAATTATTTAACTATGAAAGTTGTATATTGAGGAAAGTTTGAATAAATTGACTATCGGCTCGATAGGATATTTAAAATGGACTTATTGAAAGTATTAATGTTTGCCGAAATGGAAACTTGTTAGCATTCAATAATACCAATGATAATTGAATTGATAGTGCAAGGTTTTAGTACCGGAACATTCATTAAGTTTTGCCCAAATGTGGTGATGATGGACAGATGGCTGCTGCCAACCGTCGCACTTGGTAATGAAGGGTTCAATATAATCACCAATCTGGTGAGTCATAAAATCGTGATACACTGCCTCGGAACTGAACGCGCTCGCCAATACCGACAAATGCTTCGTTTTGAACCGGCGGAGTAAACAATAGGAAGGAATTATGGAGTCAAAAGTTGCCTGATAAATGTACGCCTTAATCCAAATGTAATCTTTGATTTATAGGGCAGCCTAAAATTTGCACCCTTCGTCCATTACAGTTTTATCGAAATGTCCGATGTGACCTTGTAGGTCATGTTTTCAATTTCTATGTGTAATTTTCCTAGCTCTCGATCATTTGTAATTATCCGGCATCTTCGCTAAATTTCTCTGTCGATCATTTCAAGCAATTATTTAACTATGAAAGTTGTATATTGAGGAAAGTTTGAATAAATTGACTATCGGCTCGATAGGATATTTAAAATGGACTTATTGAAAGTATTAATGTTTGCCGAAATGGAAACTTGTTAGCATTCAATAATACCAATGATAATTGAATTGATAGTGCAAGGTTTTAGTACCGGAACATTCATTAAGTTTTGCCCAAATGTGGAATAGATGGGTTAATTTTTACATTAACTCATATTTACATGCAATTAAATGTTCGTACTCTGCGATGAAAATACATATTTGCTGAAAAAATTTCCGAAAAATATTTTGAAATAGGGATCGAAATTTACCGATCGATAGTTGTTTTTAAAGTGCTTTCACTCAATTGATGATGCTGAAGAGTGCGCAGTACACTAGTCAAATTGACAATCCTTAAGAGAATTCGAGAACGCATTCTTAATTCTTCTGAACAAAATGTCAGTTGAACAGACACTGTTTTACGTGAGAACAGGAAGGCCGGACTAACTTTAAACAGAGAACAGTAACTAGCAAATTATTATCATATTGAGACCGAATATAAGAACAGATAACCTGGCACCAACTTAAAAATATGTTTAGATGAGTGTAAATTTCCAAATTAATCATTATAAAATGTTGTTTAAAACCCGTTTTTAATGACAGTTACAAATCTGATCGATCCTAATGTCATCAACTCTCAAGATCAATGCCACAATTAATGATGAGTTTAATTTAGATAATATTACTAAGTCTCGGCTTGTCTTAACAGATCGCCTCTCTGTCCCTCCGTAGGTAGGCCCCCCGCTGCTGGAGGCTCTTGGTGGTCACACGCCCGGCGGAGGCACAGAAGCTCTGAGCCTCAAGGTCCCCGCCCAGCAGGTCAGACATGTTGTCTTCTTCTTGATAAATGTTCAAACGCTCCTGAATACAATTGTTATTGAGTTGTCATTATAGTTACTAATATAGCATGAGTTTCATGTAGCAGTATAACATTTTCATGTCTTCCTCATAATTGGATACAGAATTTCGCATCGTACCGCTGCGTGCAGGTGGTGGAGGCCGGCGGCAGCGTACAGGTCGAGTGTCGCGTCAGCCTCGGGCCCTTGCAAGACAGGGCCGTCAAAACCCTCAGGGTCAGGATGAGGGATTACTTCTTCTCCATCTCCGGGGCTCGAGGTGAGCTATTGATCTTTTGAAGGCTCGGACATTTCCTATTGGCATGAGGACGTCCTGATGCTAGATGGACATTAGTTGTCTTGGACAGTCTTGGACCCCTTACCAATCTATCCGAACTTCAGTATTTTTCTTACGGTTTTCCCAAGGGAAATGACCGTTGCCTTTTGCGAACAGGCCAAGGCCTCTCATGCAGTAATCTTGTTTTGCTCCTTTCTTTCCTGCCTCAGATTTATATTGTTTTATTTGACTTTTGCCTGGCGAAAACAACCTCTCGTTTTAGCGCATTTCTCATGCATGGAAAAAAGGCGCTATTGTGCTCGTCATGTTCGTCCGTCTGTCTGTCCGTCCGTGACTTCTCTTGTTTGCCGACGAGAAAATGTGCTCTCTGTCACTCATTGCAGTGAGTACTGAGTTATATTTTTTAGGAACCTATAATGTATCTTTTCACTTCCTCGCAATCCTCATGGCGCAAATTAACCTTGTACTCCGAGTGCTACATGCGCTTGCATGTACTCGTATACGATCTTCACAATATTTAATTGCGTCATCACGGTTATTGAACGCTGTTACGCATGAAATATCTCCCGCTCTGGACTTAGACCGATGCGGATTTTTGTTGGAGGACTTAGTAGTCACTGTTCCGGCACATGGCTCATTTAATGAGCTACGATGGTAGTCACAAATTCTCACAGTTTGTGTACCGAGATGCTCCATGGAAAAAAATTTTAGCACTCAGCTCATTTCAGGGAACACAATTTTTTAAAGTCGTAGAAAATTATATGGATAAGAATTTCACAATTTTAAAATCTTAATTAATGCAGAGTTTTTACTGCATGAAATTAAACGTTTTGACATGTAGTGTAATATTCGATTCTGTATTATGAATCGAATATAAGAGAGTTTAGACGCTGTATATGTTATGTTACTATAATGTTAGTCATCGCTGCTTCACGGACATTCGTAATTTTCTACAGGGGGAAAAGGATGCAGCGTTGCGAGCTTCATGGCTGCAGCGATGCTTGCTGCCGCTTGTCTATACTTCAACATCAGCTGAAGCTTTGTCAGCTGTGGATTGATGGAATAATTCCACAGTCCTGTACAAAATTGTGGGAGAGTTACGTAAAGGTTTGTAAAGCGAGATTAATTCATATCCAATAACCTATGCAAATAAAAAACTGGAAAATTCGTTATGATTATATGAAACGGCAGAAAACGAGCCAAAGCTTATAGAAAATCACTTTACTTCCCCACAATAGTAATAACCGTTCTGTGCACCGATTACATTGATATTATAACAAATGTAGTGAATTAAAGAGACAGTAGAATATTGAAGTTAAATAGCGCAAATGAGCGTTTTGCAGTAGCTTGATTGGCCTTACCTTGTAGGATCCCGCTAAATATTGATATTTAGGTATGTAAGTGAACTTTGTTGAAATAAAACTACGAATGGATGGAGGTAAATATATCAAAGAATTAATGTCACGAAATTTTTCAACCCCATTAAAGCGCCGTTTCATTAAATCAACAGAATTAGATGCCATGGCATCTGAATTCATCTTCCTCCACGTGGCCTGTTCCCTGTCGTGATAGTAACAGTAGATAATGAGTTTTATAAGCCCTATACATATATTTAACTATCGTTTTGTGTTTTGTACCAAAAGTTTATAGATGCGGATATTTTTATTAACCACAAGTATGATAGAATTAGGACAGTGATTTATCCTTCCAAAAAGTGTGTGCAGTTTGTTTGAGGTTGTCAATTGAATGAAATTTTGCTAGGTAAACATTCCGTTCAGAAATAAGATTAATATTTTTTACCCTCTGGTTAACAAATATTTTCTAATTAATGAGCTTTGAGCTGTAAACACTCCGATGAAGTATTGCAGTGAGAATTTAGTTTCTTCTGAATCCAAAATAATCTGATTTTTTTTGTGTTTTTTGGGATCTAATGACAACATTTTCTGTTTCAAACCCCAATGATGGTCGTACTTTCTTTTTATTTCGCATTAAGTAATGCAATAGTTATAACGTATGTTGATATTTCTTTTGTCTCGACTTCAAGAAAACTTTGTTGCTTTTTTAGAGGCATACTCGATACTTTATGGACTTTTTTACTTCCGCTTATCCTTTATATCGGTCTCATGCACGGATGTAGTCCTCAATTATTTAAATATATAAATTTTGAAATTGATGCGAATCCTTGTCAATGTGCATGGAGATGATTGAAACACAGATTTTTTGATTTGATGCGGCAAAGTCTATTGAAATGGAAATATCGATTTAATTATTAACTAAAACAACGATTGATTCCAAGTAGTTAGCAATTGTTCGTTATCACAAGAGCTGAGAAAGTGAGATATAACGAATTAAATGGCATTTTCTTTCAAGATAGAGTTGGCAGCTGCCAAAATATTTAATCTTTGAGCTCAAGGACGTCATGAATAAATTTGCTTACGTTTAATTTTAATCAACTATACTTCATAAATATGCATGTGTTGATGACTTTTTCCTCCTACTTTCTCTGTAAATTTGTTACGAATTTCAAAAAGCGACAATATAGCGCCTGAATAACTGGAACGTGGACCAGTCACAGTCCTGTGTGTCACATAGCTGCCGCCCTGAAGATATAATGAATTTATTTATCAGTTTTATCTAAGCGACCGACCAAACTGATGCGCGGTGTCACCAGTCTTTTGACGAATTAAATGTATCTTCCGTGAACTGAATTATTTTAAAATACCTTATTTGAAATCGTGACTTTACTTCTTTGCTTCTCTTAATTATTCTTCGGCACTTCTCCGTTCCTTGTGTTCATATTTTATTCTCGTGAATGATATTTTGGTATATTTTCTTCCCGTGTATAGCGTTGAGGAGATCACAGGTTCCGAACAATCAATCCTGGTCCAATTATTGTTCGAATATTTTAGTGTGTCTGTTTCTAAGAAATAAATAGTTTTTACTGTTCGAATATTTTAGTGTGTCTAAGAAATAAATAGTTTAATGTGAGTAGACGTAGCAGTTGAAAGACATTATCTAACTCCTAGATGCTCGTTACAACCCAAGTTCATCAGTGCTACACAACCTCTCATTTGGGACATTAGTAGTTTCAATAACCTTCCATTCCTGTGTGAGCATTTTAGAAGTTACTCCTGTATTGCCTCTAAGATTATTAACGAAAATTCACACTTCCTGTGTCAGTGAGAGGGAGCTGTTGAAAAAAGTTGAATTCCTAATAAATCGTGCAATAGTAAATTTTGCTGAATACTCTACACTAAAAAATAGAAAGCGCCTCCATACATTTATCAATAAAATTTGACCTGCTTCATGAGTGTATTGTAAAGAAAATCAAAATTAATTCAATAGAACATTAAAAATTATTCAATAATTGAATTTTTATTTGTAGACGACCCATGAAAATGTGTAGTAATGAAGATATATAAGTTTATCGATAAATTCTGCAGCGTAAACCAATACAAATTTGCAAAGATTACCGAAACTAAGTTCAAATGCTAAATGGTTAATTGGTTAATATTTGAAGAAAAAATGCAATAAATAATTATATTTATGTGCTGCGGAAAACTTATTTCAATCGTGAGCTGACTTTAATTTATTTCAAATCGGGCAAAAATCTACTGGCCTGTATTAAAATACAACGTGTGCGTAATGGAGTGTTTCAATCAAATGCGTTTTCCATCCGATGGAGCATTCTCCCTTTCGGCGTTGAAATCGATTCAAATCATTCAAACTGTCCCGCCGCTTGGAAAATTCTCCACATATATGCACCAGGGACCGACGGGCTAGAATATTTTAACTCATTATTTGGGATGTCAACAATGCAACATCCGTGTTCGATTTCTCTGCTCACGTGAAGAATTAGTTCTAACGAAAGTATTCTCAGGTAAATGTACACTAATTAATTATCTATTCTCCTCATATTTACCTATACCTTCTCTAAATGTCTGACATTTAAATCTTGCAAGGCCGTATTTCAGAAATAATATATCTCCCGTTGTGATCCGTAAGTCAACCTACATGGGCTACATCACACCAGTACAAGGTAATGAACTTTGAGTTAAACTTTAATTATCATTCATTTCATTCAAACTAAATGCATTTTGACGTTTTGTAAACACAAAATGAATGCTATTATATATTAGATACAATAAATCTATTACAGTAAAAGAATGAATGACTTTCGAGGGCAGATGACCAGATTGTGTGACCCTCTTTAGCTGATAAGGATATTGTCGAACTAACACATTGATAGTGAAATATAGTGTAGAGGCTTCACAGTAGTAGAGCAAAAATACACTAATTCGGTTAGCTTAGAACAGCTTATTGATTTATAAGGTCAAGAAAGTCAACTACCACGGCCATAATACAACCAGTATTTCGATTTGGGCGCTTCACGCTTTATGAACCTCAGAGAGCTTGCGTGAGCATAGTAATTCAAAAAAAATTTAGGATATTTATACTGTGTTCATGAGGAAATTTTGAATCATGGAACTATTCGCATCGTAAATGAGTTGTTAACAAAATTATATAACTCAGTAGTCCCACAACTATCGTCCAAATTTATTCATTACTTTCACAATGACCATATGTCTCGCTTCCAATATTATATGCGATTTTATGCGTTATTTTTACAATATCAAGACCAGAAAATATTTCATTACAATCGACGGCTCGCTGTTGGAGACTACAACTGATGTTATTTTTGCAGCTTACCGACGATTTAAAATAGATTGAAATTTATGAATGTTTTTATGTATAATGTCGCCATGCAATCATCAGCTATAGATAGCCATTGAAATAGCATAAATCGTTGCACTCTGTTTTTTATCATATCTATGATTAAATTAATGCAATTGATACTTCACAATTATTCAGCTGAAAAAAACAATGATTGTCAGTTATAACAGGCATCGTTAAGGCGTTTGAACTTGTAGTTGTTTATAACAAATTTTGACAACCAATTTAATCTCATAGGAAGTTCATAAATTTGTAAACTTATTATATTATAAATTTGTTAACTTATTATTTATATTATTTATAATGAGATTGATTATTTATATAGCTAGGAGTACATTTGCAAATATTAAATGTACGTTAAATTGCTGATCATTTGTTTTAATTCTTTTCCTATAAGCCAATCACTTATTTATGTTGGTTCAGCAATGCTTAAAGTAATATAACAGTTATTAATAATAATAGGATAGATCCAAATGTAGGTGCTGCAGCCTCGCTAGCAGTAGCATTTTTTTTATATCCAAGTAATAGAATTTGACAAATAGCTTGTCTGCGACATTATCGAAGTCAAATTTATTTTCTCATCACTAAAGAAATTGCCAGCTACACCTTTATACTGCTTAATTAACATGAAGTTATCTAAATGTCCTAATCAATGCTAAATCAGGAGACTTGATAAAATTAGTTGAAACGACGGGTGAATGATGAAAATTATTGACTGATGAAATTGAAAATTATTGATTGATGAAAATGACGGGTGATGAAAATTACTAACGATATGACCTTATATCATCTGACCAGTTAACTTAATCACAATTCCTATTTAATTTACAATCCACATTGGATTGGTGGAAATTTAGTTCGTTTAATTTGGTTCGTATCTCTCAAGCAATAAAGGAGTCGAATGGATTAATACAATATTTCTTTGTTTCAGTTTACCGAATGTGCGAAAACCATTTCGGTATTTATTCATTTCAGATAAGCAACAGGAATTGAAGCAGGCGGCCACATTTATAAAGTTTCTTCAATCGCTCACTCTTGTCAAAAGCGACTCAAACAATTCACCACTACATATATACCGAGGGAAATATATATAAACTTGATTGCTAAAATCTAAAAAAACACTGCAGTGACAATGTTAATTAACACTTTAAGGTCGGCATATTTTAAATCAATTAGATTGTCAAGTAAACAGATCGTCAATCTAGAATTCAATTAGATCGTCAATCTATTATTCAACCGATCTCTCGACGGAATTTACACCTCTGCGATGGCATGATTATTTCAGACAACATCTCTAAATAAAATGCATTGAATTAGATGATGCTGATCGGGACGGCAATTACTGGGGGAATTTCGGTCTCCAGACTCGCGGCCTTCCCTTGTTGAGGGCACTTGTCAACTGTCGGACAATTGGCGTCGAGTTGACAAGGCGACAAATTAATGGGAGAATCTGCCGCGTAAAGTTCCAAGTCACGAGAGATTCTAACCACCTAGAACAAATGGCTTCTGTTAAAGCTAATTTCATTAAAAATATAATTCCTTAAAGGAAATTGCTTGATGAATTGCAAGGTGAAAAGGTTGAGGGGAAACACTTCACATCAATATCCGTCTAAAAGCCTCAATAAATAGAATGGAGTTTAAAATATACTCAAATACAAATTGGAAATTAATATTTGTTAAACACGGAATAGAAGAATCACTTAATGCTAATTAGCCACATCCAGTCTATTTTACGAGGCAATTAATACGAGAGAGGAACAAACAATGTATAGCTCCAGAGGAAAATTGATAAATTTTATAAGTGTTTAAACCCCACTCACAGTATTCACAAACAATGAAATAAAAATTACGAGAGACAAATAATTTTCAAGCGTCATGCATCTTCTCTCAATAGCCACATAGATTCAGTAGCGCCTCTAGTGCCAGCTGTAGAGCAGAAGTAATAAGAGCGGCGTTGTCACCAGTAAACATTTATTTTAGGTGCAAAATATAACGTATATTTTAAACAGAAATCAATGACAGATTTTAAAGCGATACTCTCCAGGTTCATTAGTTTTATTTTACGAGTATTTGACTTAAATATAATTGACCGCTTCAATAAATGTTACATGTTAATTATTATTTCCAAAATAATATGTGTTGGTGTAATTATTTCCAAAATAGCTGCACCAACCAACTGCTACTGTGTGTAATTTCAGTAAGCCCCTCTGTTAACAAACCAAATATGGGCTGGCAAGTAGTAAAATAATAATCAAGCACTCTGTGTATGAATCATTTTAAACATATAATGCACTCTAAGATTTTGTAGTTTTTTTAACTTAAGCTTTCTTTTTCTGAAAAAGCAGGTTTATCAACGTTGCTCTCTCTTTTGGTTTAAATACAGTAAGCAATACAAGCCTGGATATTGCTGTGCATATTTATCAGTTAAAGAGTAGCATTTTTCGATAAAATCGGGAATTAAAGTTTTTTTTCAAAAATGATGAGTAGAGAACTGAAATGTGCTTTTTGAACGCTCTCATTATAACCTACAATTATCGCAAAGGAAGCGAGATCTCCTCCAAACTCGAGATATACGTTATTGGTACACCTGTATAGAGGCAGTTATAGTTTCTGTTATATGGGTTCAGTTATTTCAAGATAAGACAATCATCCAGTAACTTCCGAAAACGAGCTTAAATCTCAAACAAAATCGAGAAAAGTTAATTAATAACTTTGCTAAAGATAATTTAACAAAGTTAATTTTACACCAGCGCAATAATTTTAGGGATGTAGTGAAGATGTGTCGGTCGTTGAAGCTGTGTTCGCAATTTCCTATACTCCATTGCCGGAGATATATACTTCACTGAGTTTTTTGTTACCATTTATGTAAGCCCGACTAACTTTAGCCTCATTTCCAAATTTGATGTTAATCTAATTTGGATACTGAGGTCAGCGGAGACTACAGGAAGTGTTTTTTCTCTAAAATTTCGCAACCATGTTTCTTCTCTACATTAGCATATACCAAGCTATTTAATAAAAATTAGGTGTTTTTTTGTTGTAAACCAACAACAAAAGCGATGAAATAGGTTTGAAAAATTGGTCGCAACTCTAAGCTCACTGACAATCCATGAAAGGAAGGGAGACAAGCAATGAAATAAAGAGAGCTAAGTCCGTAGTTATAGATAAAGCCTTTAGATTTTACTTAATAGTATTAAATATTATTTAAAAACCAGCATGATACACACATAATATAAATTACAGAATAAAACTGTACGAAAGATTTCGGTGTAATTTTGTCAACCTCTGCCTGTTACTAGTGTCAACATGTTAGTTGTTACTTGTTTAGTTGTTACCAGTTACCACTTACAGGTATTTTTCATGTTTCAGTTTGCTTACAGTTATTTTTATGTTTCACTTTCCCTACATGGATGTCTACTTTAAATCTACCAATCTCAAAAATAATCCACATATTCCGCTACATTTTACTGTAGCGGTAGCGGTAGCACTCGCTACAATCTAATAGGTGTAGCGGTAGCGGTACGCCGGCTACATTTAGAGCATGTAGCGGTAGCGGTAGCGCCGCTACATTTCAAAGTAGTGCTGCCCAGCTCTGCGTATTATATTTGAACATATAATGCACTTTAAGAACTTTTCATGTATTATTTTCATGTATTATTTACTATTTTCGATCAACTAATCTTTTTGTTTTGCGAAAACGTGAATTTTACAATTTACATTATTTTGCTTTCTACTAAAATAGCTAGCAACACAAGCCTGGGAAGTGCTGTGCATATTTATCAGTAAAAGGCTAGAGTTTTGCTTAAAAATACAAGGTTCTAAGTCTTTTCTTTCATAATTTGTTAGGAAGGACCTGAAGTACTGTTTTATAGGCATGCACTCTAACCAATAACTGCTGCAAATGAAGTGTCATCTCCACCAAACTCGGGAAATTGAAGAAATCAACAAACTCATTTTCAATTTTTGTGATCTAATTTTGATACTGTAGTTACACCTACTGGAAAATTCAGAAACATATTAATACTAAAAAACAATAATTTTTTATTGATGTTAATATATACTATGATTTTTGAGAAAAAACTTTGATTTTTGAGAAAATTATTTTTTATTTTTTCGTAAATCGAGTATAAAGACGGTGAAACGAGCGCGACACTGGCCTCGCTGGGCGGTTATTTTGAACTGCTCTGTCGACCCTGAAATGAGGTGCACGAAAAGCGATCTTGCCAGCCTGAACCAGGGTCTTTATTCACGGGCCAGGCTTCAATTACATTTGCAATAATAATAAAAGACGGCCCAGTTTCCTGCATGAACGTTTTTTATCGGTAGAAAGACGGGTGTCGTTGGAACTAATGTATACATGTGATATTTCTGATGAGTGAGGCCTAGTTTTGGTCCACGAAATATGCATCATACATATGTAGTTGACACTAAAACTATAACAAAATCCGAAAGTTTCGCTGCAAAAATAAATAACCTTGATCCGTCTGTAAGGAATGCATAATTGCATATTTACAGGAGAAATTGGAGAGTAATTCAAGAAGACGATTA